AGTGGGCCAAAACCCTGGATCTGGGCCTGGGTGGTAGTTGATTGGTCAGTCAGGTTTTTCCTCGTTCACACTACCAGAGCCAGCATCCCCTCTACCCAGGAAAGAGCTAGGGCCAGCTCTCCCATGTCCATGTCGTAGGGGCTGGCCTTCCAGTGTTTTGCCACCAAGAGCAGTTCTCCCACACTGCCCAGACAAGGGGCAGGACCAGCTCTCCCATCAGTAGCATGAACAAGAGGTGGGGCCAGCTCACTAGCATCCAAGCCAATGAGGCCAGCTCTGCTGTGCCACCCATGCAAGGGGCAGGGCTAGCTTTCCTGCACCCAAGTGGTTGGGGCTAACTCTCCCAAGCCCATGTCACCATTGGTACCCCTGTGTGGTGACTGGGACTTGGGGGCGGATCTCAAATTGTGGCAATCTTCCAGTCTCTGCCTCTCGAGCTCAGGCATGCATGATTATAACCAGATAATAATAATAATAAAAAAATGCTTTTGAAGTCTAAACACTTGGCACTCTTAGTAAGCTGTCCCAATACTTAATGTAAGTGTTCCTCTGAGACATGTTTTCCAAATCACTGTACACCTGCCAATTTGACCCTGGTGCTCTCTTGCTCTTGCCAGGCGATGTCAGCAGAAGGCACCCAGAGAACATGTAACCCCACATTTTTCCCTTTCATAATTCTAAAGAGTTTGAAGATGAAACGTCAAGAGGCTGCTGTTGTCTAATTATGGCAGTGAAACTAACAACCAAGTTCTCGTGTGCCCAGACAAGGACAACTGCATTGTGAGTGCTATTCTTTTGATAACAGTAGCAACGTTTCATTGATTGTGTCAAAAAACAAAACAAAACAAACAAACAAACAAACAAAAACAGCGTACCTTAGGACTACGGATATGGACCACATAAATTGTGGACACTTCATCTATCCATGACATTGATCTTCGGTTCAGAACATCCACCACTCACATCCATGGAACTCGGTGGTAATGGTAGCTCCATACACTGGTGATGCCATACATAACCCATCCAACTACCTCACTTTAGCGTGAAGGCTATGCATGCCACAGCATCTACATATTGAAATACAGATCTTAAATATTTCTTTCATTTATTTTTAAGCTACTACTATGATCTTGCATTGATTAAAACTTATATTTGGAAAAAAAAACACACAAAAAAACTGCAGTTGAATCAAGCTTCTAGAAACTCATGAAGTCTAGACTGACAGCTGTGGAGCCTTCATGGGACCAAACTAGGCCCTCCATATGTGGGAGACAGGGGTGAAGCTTCTATCTGTGAGGCACCTGCCAGTAGGACCAGGATCTATTCCTGATGCACGAGCTAGCTTACTGGAGTCTATTCCCTATGGTGGGATGCCATGCTCAGCCTTAATGCAGGGGTGGGGGGACTTTATCCTGCCCCAACTTAATGTGCCAGACTTTGTTGTCTCCCCATGGGAGCCCTTACCCTTTGGGAGGAGTGGGTGGGAGGCTAAGGGGGGGAGACAGGAAGGGGCTGGAGGAGGAGTGGGATAGGAGAGAGAACTGTGGCTGGAATGTAAAATGAAATTAAAAAAATAAACTAGAAAAAAAAAGCTGGGTGTGGAGGTGCATCCCAGCACTCTGGAAACAGAGGCACATGAATCTGAATTTGAGGACAGTTTGCTAGTCTACATAATGAGTTCCAGGACAGCAAGAGCTACATAGAGTCTTAATTAGTCTCCCATCTCTTTTCTGTCTCCCCTCTCCCCACCCCCTCTGTAAACATTATAGTATAGCATGTGAATTTCAAATAAGGAAAAGTCATAATATTTATTTCAAAAATTAATATCAAATCGATTGGTAACTACGAAGGTATTGAACTAGAGGATCACTCACTCTTTTCTTCTTTAAGAACTAGGTACATCCCCAACAATTATTAATTGTGAGGAAAATAGATGCTGTAGATGTTTATGCCCCTCCAATAATATGTGGAAAGATAATCCCTGGTGTGAGGATCAAGGTGGAGTCTTTGAGAAACTACTAATTTGCTTATTGAGGGCTCAGTTGAGGGTCTTAACTGGATTAGATTCCTAAAAGGCCCTCCTCATGTGAGGACACAACAAAAGTGCTACTTCCGGCCAAACAGCAGGGCCTCATCAGACAGCAACTCTACTGTCTCCTTGGTCTTTGATTTCATAGTGTCCAGAACTCCAAGAAATACATTTCTACTGTTTGTAATTCATCCTGCCTAGGGTGTGCTGATGTAGCACCCTGAAATGACTAGTGGGGTTAGGAGGGCTAGAGAGAGGGTTTCAATTGTTTGGGAAGTACCATTAGTGAGCACACAGGCTTCTGAGCCAGACTATGGAGGAGCAGAGCGTCGCTTCCCTGTTTGCTGTATGACTGTAAATCAATTCTTCAGTTCCATCTGAAGCCAAGTAGAGGTTATATATTGAAGTATGTAAAAGTATACAGTATACAAAGGTACAACTGAATATAACCCCCATTAATCATATAATTAGAAATATTATTATTCTGAAAAAAGTCAAGAAGAATAATAGGGCATATTTCATAATTTTTTTAATATTTATATATACTGGGTAAAATCATTTCCATTTGATTGCTATGTTTGATCTTCTGATTTCCCAGTAAATGAAAATTATATTGTAGATTTTCACAGAATTTTCCATGCCTATCTTTCCATAGCATCATGTTATTGACATATTGTTTTCAATGAGACTGAGTTTCATTGCCAATTACCAACAGAATATGCTCCATTATATAGGAAACATTCAATCTTCTAACATACCAAAAACTTAAGGTATGATTTATAGCTTTATCTAAACAACTCAAACACTAGGAAAGTCATATTAAAAGTTTTCATTTAAATTTAAATTCTCACTTACACAATCAGGTTTCATGAAAACACTCTGTGAGATACTGGCCTGTACTGTATTAAATGTCAATGGAGTTGCTTGCTACACCACATTATTATCTTGCTGGGATGAGGAAAACGGTCATCACAATCAGGAATGCTAAAAAGTTAAGCCCAGGTAAGTTCTAAATTGGGTGTAAAAGCCATGAGAGCTATAGGAATTTAAAGGATTAACAATGCTAATGTGGTAAGCAGTACGGAAGGTAGAGATGGGAAGAGGCGATTTGTCATTAATCCCAGTATGGACAATTGATTTCTCAGTGCTTCCTGGGTTCCTGGATATGAACCAATGTGATTTAAATGTCCTGTGAGATTCCCGTAGACATTTAAATAAAGGGCCGGCTGTGAGGGTAAACAAATGATTTAGGTGGCAGGTATAATCAAATCAAAGATGATGGAAGGCTGGGTTGTTTCATCGGTAGAGAAATTAATCTTTAAAACATGGGTAAATACAAGGGGGAAAAGTCCACATGTAATTTTCTCACTTTTATGAAGTGATGTAATAACGAACTTTTTCCTTCCGCCTGAACTGCCCTGTAAATTGGTTCGGCATTTGATGTTTCTCTGCATCGTGACTTAGGCTAAAGCCCAAGAGTGTTTGCTGCTTCTGCAGCAGTGGGGAGAGTCTTTAGGTAGAGAAACAGTGGGATGCCAAAGAATAGCCCAGAAGTCACAAAGCCAGTTGCAGTTCAATGTCTATTCGTTTACCAAGGAAGTGAAGCAATACACTGATTTCTGCTCAGTAAGGCAAAAAGAACATTTGTTCGGAGAAAAAGGAAAGGGCCCAGAAAAATAATTGCTGTTTCTGGATTTAACCTTTTTGCACCTTTTTATTTTATTTGGAGAACTGATCTATTTTCCAGCAGGGAGAGGTCAGTCTGGATATACCAGCTCTGGGTGGGGACACCAGACTGCATGGTATGCCCTTCGTTGTTGGCCAGTGATGTCTCTCATCACCTCCCAGTCTTAGCTGAAGCAGGCACTACCCCTTCCTCACTAGAGGTCTTGGGGTAGTGCTGCTTTTCTTTAAACTCTAATTCCCAGCCGAGTATTTGAGCATAACCATACTCTGGGTGAGAGTCAATTAATTTCCCAATGCAAAGAGCTGTAACACTTTGTTCTAATAGGACCCGAAACATTAAATATGCAGAATTTCAGTCTCTTTTTAGTCTTACCGACCCAAGAATTAACCTCATTATTCTGACTGTAGGAAGCTAAGAGACAGTGGTGATTACAAATACTTTCTCTAAGCTGACTTGAATGGATGACCTTTCTTCTTTCTAAGCAGCTATTTTAGAGACAGTAACTTAGCTGTCTGGAAAAGCTGGTAATTGTTTCTGCCTTCACAAAAGCAAATTCGGGCAAATGTTTGTTGGCTTCATACTCACAGGCATGAAGCAGAAACCAAGATTATAACCCAAGGCAAAGGAACGTTCAAAATCCTCTGAGATTATGTTTCCTCCAGTAATACCGAAGGGCTAAGTTTGTGCATATGGTATTCGTGTGGCCACCTATAAGGAGCAGTTTACTATTCATTTGAAAGTGAATAAATATCCAATCGCGTCACAGACATCGGCTAATATATACAAACATTAAAATTCTAACAGAAGCTGAAATGATTTTGAATGTCTCCTTTGCATAAAAATAAAAACAGCAACGACACTTGTCTTTCAAAATCGGATTCTGCGCAATTCCTCAGTAACCGCCATGAATTTGTGGACGAAATAAGAAAGGCCTGTGAGCTGGGGAATTCGTTTTTCTATTTCTGAGAAGCTCGATGAGATCTGATTTTATTAGACAATAGCTTCTATTTATAAATGTATTTTAAGACAATGGTTTATAGAATGTTGAAATTAATTTAGAGATTTGCGAATACACATTAATATAATTTTGCATCCGTTTGTGTAAACAAACGCAATTTCCAGATAAGATTCAATTTACAGCATCGTGTAAAAAGACAAAAAGAATACATTGACTGACAAGCTTAATTACCTGGGTAGCCAGTTCTCGCGCTATGGTTAGATGCAGCTGCTACCCTGACGTCACAGGTTGCCATGGTAGCAACAGCCCCGAAGGAAAAGGGGTGGAGCTAAGCACTCACTGCGGTGCTGCGCTGCGTCTGCAGAGGACGAGGAAGGCTCCTCTGCAGGGCTGACATCTGCCAAAATGAGCGGCCTGGATGAGGGCAATGAGCTCCCTCTCGCTAACACCACGACCCCCGCCCATGCCCCGGAAGATCTGAATCTGAACCGTGAGGAAACCGAGGCGGCGAGGGCGATGGAGGATGCAGGTGAGGCCGGTGCGGAGGGAGGCGCGCCCCCGGATTCCCAGCACAGCGGCGGACCTGCGCTTTGCCTTGCAGTGGCTGAAAATTGCGGTGATGCGGCAGGCGGAGAGGGGCTGGAGGATGCTCTGTCTCCATCAAAGGGCGGGGACGCAGCCCCAGTCCCTGTGGCAGCCAACGACAGTAATAAAAATGGCTGTCAGCCTGAAGGGCCGCGCAGCCCAGCTGGACCGAAAGCTCTGGAAGCCTGTGGTGCGGTGGGCCTGGGGTCCCAGATGGTGCTGGGGGCAAAGAAGACCAAGGAAATGACGGCGACCAAGTGCGCCACCTTTGTGGCCGCTGAAAAGGAGGGAGAAGCAGGGGCGGCGATGCAGGAAAAGAAGGGGGTACAGAAGGAAAAAAAGGTAGCCGGAGGAGGAAAGGAGGAGACTCGTCCCAGAGCCCCGAAGATCAATAATTGCATGGACTCGCTAGAGGCCATCGATCAAGAGCTGTCAAACGTAAATGCGCAGGCCGACAGGGCCTTCCTCCAGTTGGAACGCAAATTTGGGCGGATGAGAAGGCTCCACATGCAGCGCAGAAGTTTCATCATCCAAAACATCCCAGGTTTCTGGGTCACCGCTTTTCGGAACCACCCTCAGCTGTCACCAATGATCAGCGGCCAAGACGAAGACATGATGAGGTACATGATCAATTTAGAAGTGGAGGAGCTTAAGCACCCAAGAGCAGGCTGCAAATTTAAGTTCATCTTCCAAAGCAACCCCTACTTCCGAAATGAGGGGCTGGTCAAGGAATATGAGCGCAGATCCTCTGGTAGAGTGGTATCCCTCTCTACTCCGATCCGCTGGCACCGGGGCCAAGAACCCCAGGCCCATATCCACAGGAATCGGGAGGGGAACACGATTCCCAGTTTCTTCAATTGGTTCTCAGACCACAGCCTCCTAGAATTCGACAGAATAGCTGAAATTATCAAAGGGGAGCTGTGGTCCAATCCTCTACAATACTACCTGATGGGCGATGGGCCACGCAGAGGAGTTCGCGTCCCACCAAGACAGCCAGTGGAGAGTCCCAGGTCCTTCAGGTTCCAGTCTGGCTAAGCTCCTGCAGGAGAGTCCTCCCACCTCCTCGGTTTGGCCAGCAGCATGCAGCCTCTCGTCTGCTTTCTCTTCCTGTAGGATTGTGTCCTTTGGTTCTTCTCAGTCTCTAGTAGTTTCAAGATCGTGGCTTCCAAGTCTATGCTCTTTCTCTTGGCCATCACCGTGTCCTGCATAGTGTTAATGGTGTTCCAAGTGCATGGCCTCCAAACTGCTTCTAAGCCAGGCTCACAGTGCTGTAGTTTGTACTGCCTTCCTTTGCATGGCTTGGTTCTTGTCTGTGACCACGTCTTCTTCCAGTTTTTTAAAAGTGGTTCGCTACCATAAGAAAGCTTGACATTATCCTTAATCAAGAATTTGCCAGGTCTCATTCTTCCTGTCGTGTTTCTTATTTTCTATGGACTGTGATGAACTGTGACTTTCACCACTGCAAGATGGAACTGTATCCCAACCCAGCCATCAGCCCATCAGGACATTCCAACTGATCCGAGCTGTCTTCCTGGGCCTTTGCTATTTACCACTGAAGCAGGTGGCTGGTGGGTGACTACTAGGCATGAGTAAAGTAACAGGCCGGGAGTGTTTTATGTTACCACATCGGTCTTGTACCTTTGGTTACTGTGCATTGTGATCAGCTACTGGTGAGTATGAAGGCCTGTGCAATTGCCCACTAGTTCTCTCCTGGTTGAGCTGGGCACAGGCCAACACTGTTCCTCAGGAACTAAGGACCCAAGCTCCTAGGCAGCACACAGGACCCCCGACTATTACCCGTGACTCCGTTGGCCATTGGGCAGGATGTGCAGTCTCATAGGCAGTGCCCAAAGCAAAGCCTGAGTGCCTCCCTTCTGAGCCCTAGCCAGCAAATTATTCGGAATCCAGGCAACTTTGTTAGGTAACGCCCCCTACTCCTGTGTCCACACCCACACTGATTATTAAGTCATAGCTGCCTAGGTTGGGGTGGTTGGAAATCATTTGTGGCACTCCACACAGGGTTTGCTGTGTTTTTTTTCTCACTGACTCTTCTTTCTTCCTGTTCCCTTCTCTTTGAAGCAGTTACAGCCTAAAGGCAGAAAAACAAAACTGGCTACAGGTTTGTTTTTCCTTTCCTCCCCGTTCCCCAGTTCTGCCCAGGCAGAAAAAGGTACTGTAGTCTCGAAATCTCTTGCTGTCCTTCCTATTTCACCCTCCTCTTAGTCACGTCTGAAAATTTCAATGGAGGCCACCTCCATTCCTCCCTCCTCCTCCGTTCCACCAGATGTTGAGAAAGAAGAATCTCAACGACTGACTGCAGCCCCTGAGCGAGATGTGAACAAACACAACTGAAACTGCACCTGTTCCTAAAGACGAGCGGGCATTTTTCGGGGCGCAGCCTGTAGAATGACTAGAGAGTAGCTATGTGCGTCATCCCTGTTCGGCTTGTCTGACCTTGGTCCTTACTTATCAGCTTCTGAATTTCCTTCCTTGTTTCCATCCTAACAAAGGAGGAAGCGGGCTGTCGAGTGCATTGTGGGAGACTCCAAGCCTCTTCTGAGGGATGGGGGATGTAAGGAGTCTGGATTTGCAGGGCTTGCTCCTGTGTGCACGCAGTTGTGCAGTGACAGCTCTTAGTTCTGAGCCTGCAGCTGTGGCCCTCACCATCCTCTTTCTGATTTAAAGAACTTGTTAGAAGCTTCCCCAGAGCTCTGGAGGTCTGGATACCTTCAGTCGAGCCCTAGAGAAGGACTAGAGTGAAAGGGGAGCCTACTGCAGAGTGAGTTCTAGGCCTGCTGTGATGATTGATGTCTTGCAGGAGCATGGCTGGGGGCAGTGGTCACTGAGGCAAGTTTCTAGTGCAGAATGGGGAGATCAGATGGGTTGGGATTTAAAAGGAATGCTTGGAGGAGTTTTTCCTAATTCTCAACTCTCCAATAGATCTTTTGTGAACTGATGTAAGTCTGGGTGTTTTCTTCTTCAGATTCTGGGAGTGACCTTTGTGGGAGATCAACGGTGTGCACTCCTTATCCCACTGTGCTTGACCAAACCCTATTACTCCCTGTCAGCTGACTGGCAGAATTGATGTTTACAAGCCTGCCTTTTGCTTATCATTGAGAACAAGTGCAAACATTTGAATATCTGTCCTTTGCAGTACGAAGCCTCCGTGAATATTCATTACTAGATTAACTTATTCTGGTGTCTATTCCTATATAGCTGTATTCTTAGAAACACAATCCGCATAATGTGATCTTTGAAGTCCGAAGATTTTGAAAACTGTTGCTATGTCTTGTAAAAGTGATTTCAAAAGAAAAAAAAAACGTAACTTGTCGTACTGATATTTCCTGCTGTAGTAATACTTGACACTATGTTTTACCAGTGTGGGACCAGAACGGCCACCACACTAAATGAGACTTAGTCCTTTGTCTTCTCCTGTGTGCTTGAAGGAAAAACATGTTACTGTTATGTTTCTTGTCTTCACCAAAAAGAAATAAATGAATAAAGATGAATAAAAAGCTCTGTGCTGTCTGGGATAACACAGGCTGGGCAATGATGAGCCGCTTCACTCCTATTCACAGGGCCAGCAGGTAAGAGATTGTGTGAGCTGGTTCTGAAGCTGCACAGAGAATAACTAGAGAACCTGGGTGTGGTAGCACATGAATGTGACTGCAGCTCTTGGGAGCCTGAGGAAGGAGGAGGTGGAGTCTGAGGCCAGAGTGGGCTACAAAGCAATTCAGAGGCAGCTGGGCTGACACACACACACACACACACACACACACACACACACACACACACGTATGTATTTATATAAACACACACATATATATCCTTTGATCCAGTTTTAATACAAGATATATATGGAATATATGCCATATACACATGTTTATATATTTCTCTATATATCTTGTATTAAGGCTATATCAAAGGAAGGAAATTAAGTTCTAAAACTGCGAAAGAAAAAGAAATTCAAGGGAATGGAGCAGGCACAGGGCTGTAGGAATGAGCCAGCTGTTTGGCAGTGACGTCGACAGGATGTCGGTGTCTAACATTCACAGCAGATTATGCAGCACGGAAGCCATGTTAACCTGCAGTGAGTGGGTGGCATTGTGTCATCAGGAGGAACACCTTTGTTAGATTAAAGCTAAAAAAGGAAAGGCAGAGTACAGTGGTGCTCAGACTACATCTAGGATAGGAAAAAGGCAGAGGCTGCAACAGATAGTTAACCTGCAAATTTCCGAACTCAGAAATCATACCAGCAAGGCCTGCACGTAGGAAATGCATCAGGTGCCAGCAACCTCAACGACTAGCCAGCAACCTGATAGTTTGTAACTCAGCAGAAATCTTGGTACATTGTCAAATTTTTGCTTAGATGGCTAAAATACTTGGTTATTCATTTTTATAACCCATATATAGATAATGTGGATGTATTTAGCCTCTAGACCTTTCTGGAGCAGTGTCTGGGGAAACTATCGCTCATAACTGAAGTTGTGAAATCTTTTCAATGTGTCTAGGTATATTTCAGTCACATACTCATACTTTGGGTATTCCTGTTAACGGTTTTGTCTTTTGAAGATGGTGTCACCGTGTGTGCAGCCCAGGCTGGTTTCCAACTCTTGACTGCCCTGCTTCTGTTCCCTACGTGCCAGGGTTACAGGTATGTGCGCCTGAGCACTCCCTCACTATTTATTTATTTATTTAGAGACAGGGTTTGTGTTGCTTTGCAGCCTGTTCTGGAACTCGCTCTATAGAGCAAGCTGGCCTAGAACTCACAGAGCAGCCTGCCTCTGCCTCCCGAGTGCTGGGATTAATGGCATGTGCCACCACCGCCCGGCTTTGAGTGCTACTTTCAAAGCACCACACCGTTGGAGGGAAATCATTTAACATTCACACATTCCATGATGTTTCTTACAGAGGATATCAGAGGATATTTTAAGCCCCTTAAGACTTAGACCAAAGGAGGCGCTGTTAGCATAAACGAAAACAAGGATGGTTCACAAAGAGTATCATCTTTCCAATGACAACAGTATATAAGTGATAAAGATCACTATAGGTCTTTAAATTATCATGGAAAAACCCACTGGTTATGTTAGAAAGTACCCTGCTTTTTAGTGCATGTAACTAGGAAAGAAGAAACCCAGGCTTGAAAGATAGCTCTGTGGTTAAGAGCACCTGTTACTCTTGCAGAAGAGTCTTGTTTGCTTCCTGGCATCCACATCTAGTGGCTCACAACCATTTACAGACCAGCTTCAGGGGATCTAATGCTTTCTCCTGGCCTCCACGGGCAGTTGCATGCATGTGTTCATACAGACAAGCAAGCATACACATAAATAATGATATAAACTGATTTTATTAATATTTTTAATTAAAAAAAATTGTGTGTGGGTGCCTGGTGCATATAGAGACCAGGAGGTCAGAAGAGGGCTTTGATTCCTTGGAACTGGAGCTACAGACAGCTGTGAGGTGCCCAGGTTTTCTGCAAGAGCAGAAAGCTATCTTCAATGCTGAGTCATCCGCCTCTCCAGCTCCCTCTTTTTAATTTTTACATTACTTCCCCCCCTATTTTAAATTTTATTTTTTTATCATTGTGCCTATTTGGGCACGAGACTGGCACAGCGTGTGTGCAGAAGTCAGAGAACAAGGCAGTGGGGCCAGTTCTTTCTTTCCGCCTGCACCTGGGTTTCAGGTCCTCAGACTTGGGCAACGAGCACTTTTATCCCAAAGCCAGCTCCTCAGCCCCGTGTTTACCTTTCCTATCCATTTAGAAACACTGGCACTTTTTATGAACCATGAAATAAAACTGAAATGTAGCTTAATAAACACTCACTCACTAGAGCTGGCTGTGACAAGTCAGTGGTGTGAGGAGAGTATTCTCTGAACTCGACTCTTCTTTGTGAGGGAAAAAAGGTGAGGTCAGGTAAGAGGGTGCCTCAGTCAAGGTCGTCAAGTGGGAGCTGGCAAAGGACTTTTCACTTGAAGTTACTTTCCTCTACTTTTTAGTGATCAAAAAATTAATTTTCAAATTTGGGGCTTCTCAATTTTTAGGCCACAGATGGCTCAGTGGGTAAAGGCACTTGCTCCAAGTGTGGTGAGCTCAGTTTAATTCATGGGACATACAGGGCAGAGGGAAAGCACACACACACACACACACACACACACACACACACACACGCATACAAAGTAATAAGCATTCCTGTCCAGTAACACAAGAAACATCTAGAAGGGAAAATAGCTTTATTTTAAAGCAAAGTGAACTCTCTACTTAAAGCCTACAATAGATAGCATCTTTCATTTGGCCCTAAGCTTGATTGTGCATGCTTAATATAACACTCAAATGACATTTTGGATATCAAATACATATATATCATACATACATATATATATATCAAGTATATATATGTATACTTATCGATCAACATCAAAGATGCAGATGATAAAGAAAAAAGTTATCCTTTTAATTACCCTGAGAAATGCATCCTCATAGTACACTTTGGAATTCATCTGAACATTTACAAATTTTAAGAAAATAGATTTTTAATGCATATGTTAATATGCTAAATTCCAAGAAAAAATAATGATAATGTTTTGTAGTCCTGTCTATTATAGACAGGGAGGTTAACTGGCAAAAGGGGTCCCAGGAACTTACAAAAATATCAACTGAATCTAAACATCTTGTGTGAACATGATCTGAAGCAAAGTTACTAACATAACCAATCGAAACTGCACAGAACACCTCCCCTGACCTGGAGCGGATGAATAAACTTGGGCTTCTTTCAGCCGTTACTTTCTCTTCCCAAGGACAAAGCTGGAACTGAGCTGAATAGGTGTAAGTTTAACTTCTTCCTAACGGGAGACATTACTAAGAAGTAAGGCTACGTTATTTGAAGAAATCATGTCTTTTTACTTATGTATTTTGGGAAAAGAGCAAAAAGCTTGATAGCTTGGAAGAAGAATTGAGTTTCACTAGACTCTGATATTCACTATGAATTCTGGTTACATTTTTAATATGGACATAGGAGAGATGTGAAGATTCAGCTGTATTTATCCAAACAAATCTATTTTGGAGTACAGGATTTACTCACTAGGTCTCAAATTACAGTTGAGAATCACATTCATTCGAAGGCTTGTTTAAAAGTCATTGCTGGGTCCTACTCCTAAAGTTTCTGATTTTAGATTTGGAACAAGGCATTCAAATTTGCATTTTTAAGATCTAGGTTTCTCTGTATCAGTCTGTGAACCAGGCTTTGGAAAGTGCTGGACTAGGTAGATATATAAATATATGCTTGAATATGTGTTTGTTATCATCTTGGGAGAATCCACAAAACTACTAGTATAGAAAATATTAATTCATGTTCTTTTTTAGTTTAGGGCACTAAAATTTTTCTATAACAACTGTTAAACATTAAAATGATTTATATAAAATTATATATATTTTAAAAAGATAGATTAGCAAGGACCCATTTGGTCAATTTTCATTGAAAAATTGTTCCTATCAATTGTTTGCATTTTTTGAAATTTATCATTTTTTAGCAATATGTCTGCTGCACATATGGTTGGTTCATTTTTCAGTAAATATTATTTTGCTGTCTGTGTCTTGAGAACCCAAGGTATAATGGACTGGTGGATAGTAACCAGCTGTCTTTGAATTGTTTGTAGAGAATCTTGTAAATTTGTAGTCCAGGGGTAACTCTGGGAGGGAAGGAAAAGAAAGACTGTTTTATAAGACACCAAACTCCTTTCATAAATACAAACAGATTAAAATTCAGTGTTCATGAGCAGAACAAGAACAGTAATAATAGTAACATTATTGCTGTGGATGGGGAATGACCATGAAGCTTCTACACTACATGAATAACTAGATGCCTAAGGAATTCTGGGAGTGGAAGACATGGTTTTCCCCAGGGAAGAGCATACCATTGATTATCCAGTGCCATGAGGTTAACCTTGAGAACAGGCACATACAAGCATGTTATACAGACTGAGTAGTTTGTAGCTATGTATTCAGGAATACATATGTATATACATATATGAATATAACAATAATTAATGAAAAAAGAGGCCATGGATTCTAGAGCAAGGAGGGATAGATGGGAGGATCTGGGAGGAGAAAAGGAAGGGGGGAAATGAAGTAATTATAATATAGTGTCATGAAAACAAAAAGAGTAATAAAGCAAATCAGCCTTTCTATTTTATCAATAATTTTGATACTTGTGCTACAGATAGGTTGGCACAGAGTATTGAGTGAATACATAAAATTTACAATATGATTTATATTTACACATACTACACATAATCCCCAGAACTCTGCCCAAATTATACTTTACATAAGGTGCCACTGAGAAGCATCAAGACTCAAGCAGTCAGTCTTTACCAGAAAAAACCTACTGCTGGATAGGAAGAAGGAACCTTGCTCTCCTGATGTCAGAAAAGTCACATGTACTGCGAAGGGAAAAAGATGCAGCACTCGTCAGCGTTGGGCGCCTGGATTCTAGATATTTAATATGAGTGACAT